TGATTTCTCTGGAGGAGACACAACAACACACAAACACATCAGTACAAATATTCCTCCAACATTTAGAGCACAGAGAAGTTTACATCTTCATGTGGACAAACGTCAGTTTAGGCTCCAAGCAACAAACATGGAAAACTAAGAAGTTTCAGCTTTAAAACAAAGATTTTAACAAACTGCATCTGAAGTCACTTCTGTCTATTTGAGTTTAATGAACTCAGCTGAGGCTCCATCACTATAAAGCTCAAGTCCAGCATAGAGAGGCTGAGTGAATGTGGTCTGGACTCTGTGGAGGAGAGTCATGGTTTCAGAGACGCTGTAGAAGGACAGAATACCTGCTGTGTGATCCAGGTACACTCCAAGTCTGGAGGACCGAGGACCTGAGACAGGATTGTGGATGTTGTTGTACCAAAGAAAATAACTGTTTTGACCACAATTTAATGCCCAAGATTTGCCATTGTATCCAAATCGACTTTCCTTCCAGCCCCCTGTTCTCCTGATATCCTTGTATGCGACTGCTACACTAAGTCCTTCCCCTGTCCACTCCACCTCCCAGTAACAACGTCCAGTCAGACTCTCTCTACTCAGGACCTGACACCTATCAGTGAATCTGTCTGGGTGACTAGAATAAGACTGTTGTTGACTAATTGCTGTTGCTTTTCTGTTTCCTTCAGATAATAACAGACGTGTGTATGCTGTGTTTGGATCCAGTGTGATTTCACATGAATATCTTAAGAATCCATCTCTGGTCTTGGGCTCTGCTGGTGACAGTAAAACATCCACTTCAGCCAGTGTCAGTGAGATGTTTGTCCATGTTTCCCTCAGGGCCTCCTGTAGTTTCTCTCTGACCTCTGACACAGCTGCTGTCACATCCTCAAAGTATCTCAGAGAATGCATGTCGATGCTGGATGAGTGTGTAGACTGACTGAGTGCTGACGAATTTCTCAAAGCTTTTTATTTTTTTAACCCTCAGCAGAAGCATAAGACACAATGAAACACGGATGAGCATCCCTGAATGCTTAAAGAAAACAAGAAAAACTATAATAGGATTTGGGATTTAATAAAAGCTTCTAAAATACTGCACCTCACCAGTAGTACAATCTGCTAAAGACTAAAGCTGAAAATAAGAATACTGTGTGATTATAGTGTACGTAATATAGACACCCCGACTTTTAAACATAATTAAATAAACATGCCCTTCCTCTCCCTGTTACTGTATGATGCAGTACAATTAACTGTCAGTTTAGTTACTATTGGCATAGTACTGGGAGTCCAGTCTTCTTCAGCTCCTCCACTAAAGCTGCTAACGTGGTGTTTTTCACCAGGTCAGGCCTCGGTCTGAACGTCTTTCTGCACTGAGGGCAGCTATGGACATGTCTCTGGTCTTCCTCATCCCAGTGTCTTTTAATACAGTTCATGCAGAAGCTGTGTCCACAGGGAATAGCCACCGGATCCTTCAGTAGATCCCGACAGATGGAACAAGAGAAGTCTTCCTGGTCCAGCTGAACTCCTGTCTGCGCCATTTCACCTCTCAGTGACAACAACTGTGTGAGTTTCACTGTCTGACAAGTGAAACCAGTTTGAGTGCTGATCTACGTCACCACATGTTGGTTACACCCATCTTCAAACTGTAGATCTGAAGGGGGGGAACCAGGAAACATCAGGACAGAGTGGAGCTGCTGTGTCTGAGAGAAGAGGGAGGGTCATCAGACTGGACCTCATTCCAGGAAGAGGAAACCAAAAGACTTCAAGTATTCACAGTAGAAGTACTCAGTGCAGAAACACGTCTCCTGGGACTGTTTGACTACTATATATTAAATCATGACATTATTATTGCTCACGCACTGATGTCAAAGCAGGATGTTGCTGTTGGAGGTGGTCGAGGTGCAGCTCTGTTCAACTGTTCTGTTTCCAGCTGCAGCTAATGATTATTTTCATTAGGGATGAATCTGCTGATTAGCCTGCTTTCTCCATTACTTCGCTGACTGGTTTGTAAAAATTGTGAAAATATGCAGAAACATGGTCTCTTGTTGGACATTTCAAGCCTCTCATGGCCCCTGGTGGCCATGGGGCCCCGGGCAGACGCTGAGCTCGCTGGCACCTCGGGCCGTCTCTGTATTCAGGAGTTTCCTTTAGGTTGCCACTGGTCTGTAGCTGCAACAAGCTGACAGTAAAATGTGAATTAAGTATCCCAATGAAGCCAGTAACAGGTTGCACACCGACCTTATATGAATCTGCCGCGTCTGGTTTTCATGCTTGTGTTTGCTCAGTAATTACAGCGCCGCCCTTCACCTACTTTCGTTTTCGCTCCAAAGTGAAAGTAAACCTCAGCCAGTGTGTGTTTGAATGTGTTGTCTGCGTTTTCATCCATGAAACGTGTCATTAACGATAATTACGATCAAGCTGAACACATTCGTCGTGGTCTTTGGTGAAAGGTGAGTGATTGAACCACTGTGTTTTAATTCACTTAGTTATATTTCATGTGTAACGACAGGACGGCGCCACGGGCGGATATTAGGACGAAGCTGTTGTCAGTTTAGGTGGTTTCAGTGCTTGGTTATTTGTCCTGCTGCTGTAAAGACTGGTACCAACAGCCTGGCAGTGATGGAAGAAGTACTCCGAAGTACTGGTGGGTGTACTATTACCACACTGTGACAGTGTTGCTTACGTCTCCACCTAAACGTTTGAGGGCGCACGGCCACATTTCGAGCACTACTTAGTTTGTATGCGCAGAAACATTTACTGGTTTATCTTTAGTGGCTGGGCTGATGGCCATGTCAGTCAGCTGGTCACCACGTTGGTCCAGACTGGAACAACCCAAACATGGGCTGCAACTAGAACAGACATCCGTGTTCCCCAGAGGATGAAGCCTCATGACTTTGGTTTCCCCTGGAGCCACCATGAGGCTGTTGTCAGTTGTTTTTAATGAAACAACTGTTGGATGGATTGTGATGAAATTGGGTTCACACATTCATGGTCCCATCAGGATGATTACAATAACTGGGGTGAAGCTGAACTTTTCATCTGCCCTGTCATCAGGACAAAAATGGAATTTGTGTAAAACTTTTGTTTATGATTAGGTATCCAATCCCATCAGCTGTACTTGGTGTTTAGTACTAATTATCAGGTTTTAGCCTGCTAACACACTGGGCTAGGGCAGTAAATACTAACCAGCTGAACGTGTTAACAAGCTGAGGTACAGTCCGGCCTCACAGAGCTGCGGACGTGGCTGGAGACTCCTTTCTTGGTCATTTTAACAGTCAGAAGCATCAAACATGATCAGTGGTCAGTCAGTTAAAATGAAACCCCACAGTGCTGTGCTTCACTTCCCATTCACTGACCCTCCTTTTCATCACACCCTCAGAGATGGCCGGGTGGCACCGTAATGACAGCTCCCAGGTGAGAGACGCCCTTCAACAAGACAACCACCCTGAGAGTAGTCACACTGACAAACACCAGCCTCAGAAAGAACACAGCAGCAAAGACACACCACACCAGGCCTGCCCCTCCTCCTCCTCGCCCCCTGGATCCCCCAGCACCGGTGATGCCAGAGAGAGGCAGGTGGAAGGGAGGGAGCCAATGAGGCCCAAGGGCTCACCATCATGTTGTCAGCTGAATGAGCTGAGGCGACTTCCACAGTGCCACAACAAGCTGGGGAAACTGACCTTCGACAGGACGCACACCGTCCTTGTAGATGTGAGATTCTCTCCTTTTCAACTTTGTCTCCACTGCTAGAAAGTAACCAAGAATATTTACTCAACAAAAATACTCCATTACAATTAGTACAAGTCCTACATAAGCTAAAGTACAGAAGTATTATATTTTATCAAAGTACCTGTTTCATAGTAAAATGTTCCTCTCACTGATGCATCATCATCTCCGAGGTCAGTAGACTGTTAATCCCGATGCAGCATGGTACTGTTGGAGCTGCTGCAGGTGGTGTTGGCTCTACCATCTTTATATACAGTTAGATACAGTAGTTTAGCCCACTGGTTCCCAATCTAGAGGTCAGGTCCCTCCTAAGGGTCACTAGATAAATTTGAGGGGTGGTGAGATGATCAATGGGAGAGACGCATCAGAAGTGACCAGATGCTCTGACACATGCTGCTTTTTTGAGCTTCTGAAATGCAGTGGAGTAAAGCAAGAGGTAACATTAAGTGGTAGTACTAAAGTATGGTACGTTAATACATGCACACGGTTACCTTCTAGCACCACAGGTGAACATTTTACATAAAAACATACATTTGTCGTCTGTAACACGCTGTTAAAGATTCCAGCCTTTTGTCCTGGTGATGTTTCAGACAGTAGAGTGATTTCCTTCCTCACATAATTTCATTTAAATAACTTCATCATATCACAACCCTCAGATTTGTCCTGCGACCCTGTGGAGGGGCCTGACCCCTAGGTTCGGAACCACTGGACCAAACTAACTGTATGCCCATGTAGCTTCACCTGGAGCAGCATCAACTTAATCTAATGTCAGATGTAACGATATCTCAGTCACAGGAGACATTTTACTGCAGAATGAGTACTTTTGATACCTCAAGAACATTTTGCTGATAATACTGTGCCGAATGCAGGACCTTTACTTTTAATGGAGTACTTTCACATTGTACTGCTACTGTTACTTAAGTAGAAGATCTGAGTTCTTCCTTTGACACTTTATCTCTCACACAAGTTCTCACAGTGCAAAGGTGGTTCAAACACACTACGTTGTTTTTCTTCCAGGTGTCTTATTTCAACTGTGGAGGAGGAATTAAGCCTCAGCGAGGGAGACTCCTGTGGGACAGAAACTTTGTGAAGATGCCGTACTCGCCAGAAAACAAAATCAACAAGACTGGATTCCTCATGGTGAGTTGGGGCTACACACCTGTAGACCTGTTGACCTGTTGTCTTCTTAACTGGCTGCTAAAAAGACAGAGGAGTAAAAAATGTCTAATTCGTGTTTCTTGCATGTGCACTCTTTTGCCAAATAAAAGGGACTATGAGAATGTGTACATGCTAGCAGCTCTGTGAGCCTGCACCGAGGCAACACTAAAAGGCTTTTACTGAAGGGAACAATTAGGTTTTGCATGTGTCCTGTGACAGAGCTTTGGCAGAAGAAACACTGTAATAGGGGAAAAAGGTTGAGCTTAGTTGTGATAAACTGAAATGACATTTGGTTTTGATCGATCGTTCTGTGTCGAGCTGAGCTTCTGAACTCAGAGGTCTGTTGATCAACTCTTAGTCACATGACTTGGATGAGAAGAGGAGCCATGAATGGGAATGTAACCAAACTTTGTTGTAGCCCAAATGCTACAAAAAGTCTCACAGTTTGACCTGCACAGAAACATATGAAGTAGCCCATATACAACCAGATGACTGACACTGCCGTCCCGAAGCAGTGCTGCTAGCATGGCTAAAAAAATAAATACCACCCATATGTAATTAAAGACGGTGAACGGTTCTTAAACTGATCTCTTGTGGTCACAGTCACAGACCCAGGGGCAGAGGTGGGAGGTGATCTCGAAGAAGCTGAAGGATGTGGCCAGTAGGAAAGCAGCGAACGTTGATCAGGTGGAGGTACGATGGCAGCTGTTATACATTTATACACCAATACTATCTCTATGGCCCATGAACCGTTCAACCTCACTCTTCAGCCGTGTCTCTTTAGGAGGCGATCATCAAATATAACCCAAAGTATAAAGGACAGTGGTCATTTGATGCCCTCTCCTCCTTCGTTAAGGTCAGAGTCCATGTGTTTACTTCACATTTTTCAGCTGTATGAGTGAGTGTCTGAGCCCTCTAACGATGTGAAACCCTCATACTTCCTTTCAAGTGTATCCCAGAACAAGAAAACTACTTCTCCACGCTGTTTCCAAAGATCGCAGATTTGGCCTTGAGGCTGCCTGACCAAGTACAGAAGGTAGGAAACCTACTGCATCCGCTCGCTCTGCACTAGGTTCATTTAATGATGGAGTGTGTCCGTGTTCTCAGGCCATCCCGCTGCTTCAGAAGGAACGCCCTGTAGCTGTCACCCTGTCACAGGAGCAGATATCCTGCCTGCTAGCTAACGCCTTCTTCTGCACCTTCCCTCATCGCAACGTGTCCGGACCAAACGCCGAGTACCACAACTACCCCAGCATCAACTTCACCAGGTGACACAGGCTCACTGTGTTACATACATGATTGCAGCTCTTGTCTCCAATGAGTGTGTCTGAGCTCATTGTCATTGTGCATGTAGCCTGTTTGGAAACTGGTCACTCCGGAAGAAAGAGAAGCTGCGGGCTATCATGCATTATTTTAACGTGGTCACGAACGAGAGTAAGTATATGTTCTGCCTTGTCTTTCTGCTGTTAGACGTTATGAGTGAAGCCTTGTGACTGCTGTTGCTCTTTGCAGACAGTAAACCGAAAGGACTGGTGACGTTTGAGAGGCGATGTCTCAGAGACACAGACACACACAACTGGGACAGGTAATAATAAAAATACTCTATGTTTATAGATCACATGTGAAAGCCCAGGTTACAAAGCACTTAACACAAGACAGCCGGTTAAATCAACAAATGACAAAATCAAATATTACATCTAATCATATTACATCAAATGCATTAGATCAGACACGGTCAATGGCTGTAGCTGCTCCGCACAGCTCATAGAGGTAGTGCTTGGTATTCGGGGGGTTACTTTTTTTTTTTTAAATAGAATTTACAATACATAATTTAGTGGGCAGCACAAAAACATTTTAAAGACTACAAGGATTAATGTGTACCACTATCAGTTAAATAAACAATGTATCAATAAGGAAAGGCCACTGGAAAGTGCAAAGAGGTCTGGACTGTTCTGGTTAAAAGCCTGGAGTTGTGCACAGTAGTCGATCAGTAGATAAAGAGGCTGCTGCTATATTCAAGGTCAGATGAGATAAACTTGTAAAATGAACTGCAAGTATCTTTTTGGTCAAACAGAAACCAGGACTTGTCACATATTTGAGGTCAGACCATTGCTGGGACCCAATAACAACAGTTTCTTTAGAGTTCAGTTGAAGGACGTTATAAAATAATCAGTTTTTTATCGGCATAAAGTGAAAAACGATGCTACCATAGCTGCTGATATTTCACTAAAAACCACAAATGTCAACCTCCTGGTTGCGTTGAGATATTTTAGCCTGGACCAAAGCTGTGGGCCGACAGAGGGATGTTCTGTAGCCTGGCTAATAAACCTCTGTATCCAGAACAAACTGAGTCTTTGTGAGTCTGAACCTGTTTTGTTTTGACAGCTGTAAGGAGACACTGCATAAACTGCATGTCACATCAGACGGCAGCATCGAGACTGAAGGTACAGGGCTGCTGCAGGTGAGAATGAACCCAATACACACTGATCCCCAGCTGCTTATGGCCAGAATTCATTTCTCATCATTCCTATGTGCGTGCAGGTGGACTTTGCTTCCAGCTCGATCGGTGGAGGTGTGCTGGGCTCTGGTCTGGTGCAGGAAGAGATCCTGTTCCTCATGAGCCCAGAGCTGATTGTGTCCCGCCTCTTCACCGAGAAACTCTCAGACAACGAGTGTCTGATCATCACAGGTACAGTAGTAATGAAGAGATCAGTCGAGCAGGGTCCCTGTCAACAGATGTGTTCACACAGCACTCGCCTAAGTGACCGAAATTAAGTCAAAAAGGTCAGACCTGCTTTGGTCCCACCCTCTCGATGTGAGGATTCTTTTTCACTGTTTTATATCAGTTTTAAATTAATGTTTTTAGATTTTGGACCGTTGTTTAGGGAAAAGGTTTATCATCAGCTGTTAATTGTGTATAATGTAACTTATGCTGACCAAAGTGCTGTGTCCCCTAAGGCGCTGAATTCTAAGTTAAAGGCTAAGTCGTCAGCGCTCGGTATCTTCCCATACTGTTAACAAATCCCATGGAAAGACAAACCATTAATAAGCATCCTGTAGTTTGACCCCCCACACACACCTTCCTGCTGTCACAAACACTCACTAAAGACTGAATGTGGATTCATCCGCTGCTGAAAATAGTCCCCAACAAATGCGCCATTTCCTCCTGTTTGATACAAACTAGGAACTTAATGAAACACCAGATTTGTGATGAGGGAGCCACAGACTGAGTAGAGAGGTGAACACCACTTTGTTGGGTTTGGTCTTTTCACTGGTTTCATTATTAACAGGAAAAATATTAAACAGATGCCATCACTGTGTTTGTCAGGCTGCCAGCAGTTCAGCCGTTACTCTGGTTTCAGTGACAGCTTCGAGTGGGCGGGGCCATACGAGGACTACCTGGAAAGGTACGAGCATGAGCTTTGTGCATTTTAATTTGGAGTGCACTGGGTTTTCTCACAGATTTAACGTGCTCTTTGCAGAGATAAGTGGGGTCGGATGAAGAGGCAGATCCTAGTGATGGACGCGCTGAACTTCAAACGCAGACAGGAGCAGTACAGTATGATCAACGTGATACGGGAACTCAACAAGGTAGGTAGCCGTCCTTTGGATTTCAGAGCATCCAGAAAGTCAGTCACTGATTTTTAAATTGTTATATATTTCAAAAGTTATTTTGGTAGTTAATTTGGTCAAATAAAAAAAAACTACTGGGAGTTAAAAGTCCATTTAAATAAGTCTTTATTTTTAAAAGAAGCAGCATCTGAAGTCAGGCATAGCTGAAGTGGTAAAGTCCTCCCTAACTTCAGGGCAGCAGCAACCAGGCCTGGTCCCTCCATCTTTTGTGCCCAGTGTTCGTACTTCCAGGATCAGCTGATCTGAACTAGTACACCTCAAACTTCAGCGAGACAGGGAGCAGCTGGACCATTTAACGCCATAAAAACAAAGAAGTTTAAACCGAATCTTAAAATGAACAGGCCAATGAACAGAAGATAGAACAGGTGTAATATGCTGGCGTACAAGTTAAAAGGTGAGCTCCTGCATTTTGCACCAAGTGAAGATGGAAGAGTGAGAAATGACTAAATCCCATAAACAACACATTGCACCAATGAAGACCTGAATAGTCTTCTCCAGCTCGTGGTGATGAAGAAAAGATGTGACTTTTCAGCATACAAAGCTGGAAGAAGCTAGTTTTTACCACAGCACTAATCTGTTTTTATATTGGCTGCTGATGCAAGTCTCATGACTTTATTTTACGTTGTCAGTTTCACATGATTTTATTCATGTCCTTGAAGGCATACTGTGGATTTAAGGGACAGGGGCCCAATGAGCCGGACATCGCCACGGGCAAATGGGGCTGTGGAGCCTTCAACGGAGACCCGCAGCTCAAAGGTTTACTTTAAATGTTGGGTTTCAGTCTACACATGCAGCCACTGGTGAACCACGGATGAACACATGAGAGACTATAACCTTGAGCCTTCTACTTCTGTTCCCGTGCAGCTGTGATCCAGCTGATGGCAGCAGCAAAGGCCAGGAGAGGATTGGCCTTCTTCACCTTCAGGGACCGCGTCCTGGAACAGGGCCTGCAGGACATCTACCGCCTGCTGGTCACAGAGGGGATCACAGTTGGTGAGAGTTCTCCTGACAGAAAACTGTTCAGCTGTTTCTCATTTTGGTCACATCTGACTGTTCAAACTGCTCCTTTACAGATAAACTGTACAGACAGCTGGAGGACTACTGCGGGGTGCAGCAGGCACGTGGTGATCAACATGTGGATCTGTTCCAGTTCATCACAAACAATGTCCAACACTACAGGAGCCATCTGTGAGGACACATTCCTGATCTTGTCTGCATCTGAATTTGCACTAAAATCTAAGATTACAGAAATGAAGAGGAGGTTACTTAATCTGAGCTGTGCTTTACTCCTTGCCACTGTGTTGTCACCTCAGATGGCTGCAGCTGCTCAAACTGTCGCTAATTAATGTTAATTCTGTGAGGAGGAACATGACGACAGGCCAAAATAAAACTTATCTGTAGTTCCAACAGAGTGAGACATCACCTCTTTAGAGGATCTCACCATGTCACATCTCCAGTCAACCTTTATTCACAACTTATTAACAGTTTAAGCTTCTGACCTTGATTTTGTACCAGGACCTTTATTGTTTGGATCAAGTAGCTTGTGAGAAATGCAGTTGTTTTACTGTCTGACATCAACACTTAAGTAAATAATCAGCCTCATCAGCAGATTTCTGATGTTGAATGACTCTGATTGGGATCAGAAACTGAAATCAGAACCAGGACGTCCCAGATGAGAAGAGACAGGAGAAGTTTGATGATTTAGTTTTTTAAAAATTCTGTTTGTGTTTTGATCATTGGAGAAAATTATTATTCATCATTATTAATTGATTTGATTTGATTTGATTTATTCTTTCAAGCATATAAAACAGTTGATAATCAATTTGCTTATACCTAGTACATGCTTGAATGGAGTAGGAAGAAGTCAGACTTATCCAGTCCTACCCCATGACATCATCTTACCATCATTGGTTTGGAAGCAGTAAATGATTCACTTCTGCACACACACACATTATACTAAAAAAGGAATATAACAGTGTTAACATTCTTAAATCACACAGTTGATATAATAAAGAATGGTTACAAAATATAATCATTGAGCCTGTTCTTGCTTATATCTTGATTGACACACACCTTAATATTTACGTTTGAACTCGTCAATTCTATTACTATTTTTTATGTCCACACTTAAAGTATTCCATAGTTTTACCCACTTATGGAAATACAAAATCTTTTTTTGGTTGTACGTATAGCATGAATTTTATAATTTAACTG